CTTTTGACGGCTGTGCCAGATGCTTCTTCAATGAGAAGATTCTTCAGGTATAACCTTGCCGGGCACTATGCCCAAACAACACAGATTGCACAGTTCCATCTGTGCAGTTGGTTGTGTGGTTCCTTTGTTGTTCACAACCACTTTAATTCCATTTTCTTGCTTGTAGAAGAAAGATACACTATACTTAGAGATGAATCAGCATTGTGCCAACCAAATATTTACTTAAATGCTTATTTAGGGATTTCTAATTCAGTCTCTAGCTGCCAGTCTTGGAATAAACAATCTTAAAACAACACAGCTATACAACAAGATTTCAGCCTCAGTATAACTTAGCTAAGCTGGATAGATAACACAGTTGTTTAAGCATCTGGCTGTGGACCCAGAGGTTGGAAATTTAATTTTCTACTCTTGCTGCTAGGAAAAGAGCCAGCCTATGTAGCCATGGGCAAGATGGACAGTCTCAGAGCGCCCCAAGAAGAAGGAAATGGTAAACTACTTATGAGTAATCACTACTCCAAAAACCCTGGAAAGAGTTGCTGTAAGTTAGAATTGAATTGACAGCACATTGTTGTTGTTGTTCTTATTAGCAAAGGAGGCAATGCTTTAAGTTTCGCTGGTGGCTTGGAGGAGATTCTTGATAGAGGTGGGGAGGACACCAGATGGATGCTCTTATCTTTGGGAGAAACTCTTACAAGTTACAGGTTCTTGTTGTTTGTTTTCCTGCTTGCTCAATTAGTGGAACATCGGTGTTCACTTCTTGAAACATGACAATCTTTGAAGTACCTTTGCTGTTTGGGATGTTTCTGTGATCCTAAAAAGGAAGATTTTTTTTCATGTCTCTGATCAATAACTGACTGTGCCACTCTGTAGTCTGTGAATCTCATGGGGGGGGAGGGAGGGGAGAAAAGTCAATGAATAATCTTGAACCCGTTCAAGTACTACTGAATGGTTACATGGTGTGAACAAATAACAGAAAATCAGAACTGGCAAACTGGAATCCACACCATGATTTCAGTAAAGCTCAGATGTTTTAAATTGTGGCTTTTAATTGTTTTATGCTGTTTCTATTGTAAGCCGCCCAGAGTAGACGTTATCTAATTGGGCGGGGTATAAATTTAATAAATAAATAAATATTCAGGTGAACAGCCGGCTTTGAACTTACTGTTGAGAGAAGGACAAGCATCAACACCATTTGGGTCTCTGCAAGACCTGGCCGTTGGTCAGCTCAAGAACTAAACACAAATCCAGCATTTGCCAGCAGCCTTTAAATGTTGTGCAGAATCAGCCCTTCAGTCTAGAAAGCAGCCGCTGTAACTGTGGGATAGGAACCATTCCTGAAGTCCTTGTAAAATCAGAATACTGTATGAAAAATTGAGGGAAATATATCCTTGGAGGCCCACTGATACCTTTGAAAGAGAGCAATATGGATCTCATTAGGCAGATCTTTCATCACCCCGAAGGCCAAAATGGAAAGCCAACCAAACCCCCCTGGGGACGAAAAATATCTTGCTCTGGTTTTAATTTTCGCTACACCAGCCTGTGCAATCAGTAATTTTGTTTTGTCATCGGCTCACCCGAGAGAATGTATGGTTCATTCTTCGTTTGTGCATTTCTTCTTCTTCCCTCCCCCCCCCCCCGAATTTTCAATGTCTCTATTAGATGACTTTGGTTAACTCTGTTCTGCATTTGGCAGTTGGCAGCTTTCCCCAGTGAAACACTACACGGATTGTGGCCTGGAACTGCAATCCAAAAATTTTCATACAGTAAACTAATAAATTATAGTAATCCTTGGGAATACATTTCTCATATTATAGTTTGAATCTTGATTCCACTGTTCAGTGTTTTGGGCTTGACTTACTTCATGGAGAAATGTCTACATTTCTTCCTATAAAGGTGTTCAGATGAAATTCTTACAGGTTGAGGAGAAAACTCAGATTGTGTGACTGGATTAAGACCTGCTGAGGCCCTTGTAGCAAGTTTAAGAGGCCACATGGTGTTGCCGAAAAAAAGTATGCTATTATCACAGTAGTGTAAAAGTTTAAACTTACACTTTCTTCCCTTGTATTTAGAGCCCTTTCATAGTCTGAGGTCCTACAGTACATTGTAAATTACTTAATTTGTGTGATAATCACACATTGCATGGGTCCTTGTTTGACCCATGTAGGGATTCTGATGTATGTGTACTGATGTAAGGAGCAGGAAAACACAGGAAAGTTAAATTTGGAAGACCAAATTAACAGGGGGGGAAGAGGGGGGAGAAAGAAAATACACAGTGCTGTGGCATGTGGGAGTCTTACAGATTTGTTTCAGTGTGACCTTGTGTGGACCAAAATCCACTTCTTCCATTGAAGATGGCTGTGTCTATTACTCTGGAGAGATGTGTATTGTGGAACCGTTTCATCGTCTTACCTGTAATATGAGTCCAGTCTCCCAAGGGAACATTTCAATAGAAATTAGAGCAATATACTTAATTATTTACCTCTTTTATAGCTCCATGGACATCTATATCGTTCCTTTTGATTATTCGTTAATGCTAAATGAAATTCAATTATTGATAATAAAGTTATCTCTTAAGAACATAAGGGAGGGCGATAGCATGACAGGAACCTTTGCTTGATACACACCAGACCTTGTAAGACCACCGTGCTGTTTGGGATGTTATCATGCCACACATGAAAAGGAACGCACAACTGCTTCTCCCGGAGCTTCCCTCCATACACACACATCAAGGAGGCATGTCTGTACGGTTAGTGGGCAGTAGTGAGGTTTTAAAACCCAGAGCAGAGGGTCCCTAGGGGCAAAGAGTCAGGGGCTTCTGTACAGACGTGCTTAGCAAAAATGAGATACAGCTTGGTGGTTGTGGCAGAACCCCCATGTCACACCTGTCCATCATGGGGAGCTCAAGGGCAGGAGCCTATGAGAGGACAGGAGGGGCGGAAGCAAAAGAACAGTTAGTTAAAGAGGAGAGTTAGAGAAAAGAGGTTTTCAGATAGGGAATTGAAGGGAGCGAGTTAGGAGATTGAATTGAGAAAGTTATGACAGAGATTGGAAAGCTAGAATGCTAGAAATAATAGGAAAGAGATCAAATGCATATAGAATAATTAGATAGTCGGAGAATATTGTAACAGTGAATAAATACACATACCAACCAACGTAAAAAGCAAATGATATTTAATGAATAATCCTAAACATCTGTAATTTTCTCCTGTGATTTGCATAACACCTATAATATCAATAAATCTGTTGTATTGGCAGCACGTGACTAAGATCTACGTATCTATTTGGTATTGAGTGAATAATACCTGGTGGCAGCGTGAAGTGAGGAAACGCATCCAGAGGGTGGACTTGGGTTTAAGGAAAATAAACAAAGGACACTGGGTAGATGTGACGGTGGTATCTGAGACTCAAGTAATGGTTTGGGAGATCTTAGATTTTCGTCCTTACACAACCATGAAATCCACTGGGTGGCCTTGAATCGGTTACGCAGAGGCCAAAATCCTGTTGCTTAGTGTACTAAACCACACTAGTGTAAGGCTTATTGAACCAGTCAGGATTTGGTGAGTCAACTCCTCTGTAAGTTCCATTGATTCAAATGGGCCTACTCTGTGAATTAGTTTAGCATAGTAAGTTGTAGTTAGAGTAGACCTATCCCCCATTGATTTGAGTTCGGTGGAAATCTGAAGTCTAAGAATCACTAAAATAAATCCCATTGATGACTGAATGCGCTTGGTGAACATGGAGTAAATTTTGGCAGAGTTGGAGGGCATAAAATGAGGAATAATGGGGCATCAGGAATGAGGAGCAACACATTTTATGGTGCAACATTTTGTTACACTCTTGTAATATGTATATATTTGGCTATAAATAGCAAAGGAAGTAACTTCTGTGTTTTTGGTTTCTTATTACATTTCACATGCTGATCACCTTAATTAGTGATTGTCTTATTTATTTATTATTTACTTTTTTCTTTGGGTTTTTCTTGACATAGTTGCGCAGACTAACAACTCTTCTAAAACTAGTGTGAGGATGTTTCTGATATCAGCTAGGGGATAGTCTCACATTTGCTTGTTCTTGATGGAAAGGGTTATCTGAGACACCCATCAAAAATGGTCAGCTCCTGACAGCATTTTGCTTCTTTACAAGAGGGAAAAGACCTGGGTTTATGAGGGTGGGGGTGGAAATTTTGTCCTCAGCAGCATCCGCCAAAAAGAAGGTCGCATCCCCTGGATTGTGTGTAAATTACGAGCTTTTATGCAAAATACAAAGTTTTTTCATTCAAAACCCCTCCTGCAATTTTTTTTCAGAATTGCTCCCAAAATGCACAAAAACTCTTCCATAGTTTCCATCCAATGAGGAGAAAACTTTTAAGAAATGTTCGTGTGCCCTTGTGAGAATCAAATAAGCAGAAATATACGCTCCTGTAGTGAGGAAAAGTTTGGTGACGGGCCAGCGTCGGTAGGGTGATAGTGGCCATTTGTACTTTGTCCGTTTAAATGGCCTCTTACCTCCCTTACTCCAGCCCCATCCTAAGTAATGCGTGAAATTCTGGAATGCAAGAAATTCATGCATTCATCAGATGCATGAAATGGGCCAGAGTCCATAAAGGCTGTTGACATAAATACATTTGTTATCATTTTAAGATACCGCAGAGCTTTCTGTTGTTTTGATGTTTTCATTGCAGCTGATAAACTATTGACTCTTTCACTGTTTTTTTTTCTGTGTCGCCTCATTTAGCCACCACAGTAACTAACAAATGGTCCCCCCCCCAATGGAGAGAACCACAAGGTGACTTGGCCTTTATCTGTCCCCAAACCAGTGGCGTCTCTGGCTAGCCCTGCAAAAGAGAGATAAAGGGAGAGTAATTTAGGCTTGAGATGCTGTGTGGTTTCCAAGCCCCACGGACAGAGGCAGGAAAAGGGGGAGGGGGCAGCCCATGGCCATGTATGGCGCAAGCACAGCCTCTTTTGGATTGCGTTCAACAGCCGGGCTTGCGGGCCTGAGATCAGGAACTTTATCTGGCTAGTAATCGCATCTGCTGGCTGGCTTTTCGTCCACGCGTTGGTGTGTGTGCGCGCTCACTCTATAGAAAGAGCCGTTCCTTTTGGAGATATGAGGAGCCATTGACTGTTTGCCTGCTGGCTGCAAACGAGAGACCATGGCAGGGTTCTACAATTGTCTGAAGACAAAAACGTAAGTCACTTTCTTTATCGTCAGCTTCCTTTCTCCTTCTCCCACTTACTTGCAAAGGGAGCAGACTTCAGCGAATATGGGAATCTAGAATCAAAGTCTTTCTCTCTCTGTCTCTCTCATGCACACACACTTTAAACATTCTAGGATTTCTTGCATGCCAGAACAGAAACCTTTGTGTTTTGCAAAAGGTTTTAGGTTACAAGTCTGCCGGTTGGTGACTTTGCTTCATACAAAATGCTGAGCTATTGGGTACGTGAGAAATAATGTGTCTGTCTGTATCTAACCTATATATTATACAAAGGATAAAGAACCTATAGAAACATTTCTTCTGTTCCGCTAGAATTTTTTTTAAATGTTGTTCAGGATTCCTAAGGCTGCACATACCTATAAGCAGGGGGAAAGAGAAAACCTATTGGAGCCAACCAGACTTACTTCTAAGTAAAGATGTGTAGGATCGCACTTCCTGGCTGCAATCCTATTAAAAGTTATTTGGCTTGAAGGCCTGTGGAATTCCAGTTACTTGGAATTAGGGACCCTACATAGAATTATACAGTGGGACTGCAGTGGACTATGACGGAGTTTGTACTATTGTATTTTCGTAGCTTTTTTTTTTTTTTTACTTGGTGAGATGAGTTTGGGAGAGAAAAGATGCCTTCGGATGAATGAACTGATTTTCAGATTCTTCCATGGAATGCAGGAAGAAAAATGGTTCCAGTTCTTTTAAACCAAATGAATCCCAAGTATTGAATGCGCTTGCAGAAAGAAGGCAAGGAGTTAAATAGTTTTAAATACTTTGGGAGAGGTTGTAAAACATAATCTTTTGGAAGAGGTGTTGATTTTAAGTTTAGGTTTCTAACATTCATTTTGGTGGATCTCCATTAATGGAATCCATGGAGTAAGCTTTGGCTTCAGGGAAGAACAATAAGGTTAATGTCAGGATTTTAAAATCTGTTGTGTTTTCAGATTGACATGCAGTTAATTCTAGTACAGATCTATCAATAAGATAAGCATATAAAATGACCATATGTGTGTATTACTATCTTCACAATACCTCCACTTTACTTTCCATCAGTCTATCTGCCCTAGCCCTAACCAACAAAAATGTAGAGGGTTTCCTACTTTTCCAAGCCATCATTGAAAGGGATTTATTTAGTGGTTTTCTTTAAAGTTTCACCCTCTTTTGGAGGACCAGTGTTAATAGTGTAACTCTCACTACCTTTTCCTTCTGCTTTAATACCTCTTTGACTTGGTTGCTTTCCATCCTAACCCCTAGCCATGAGTACTTTGTATATATGCCAGAACATTTATACGCCCTAGAACCTGATGCTATAATGAATGGGTTAGTCTTTAAGATATCACAGGGTTCTGCTGTCTGTCCCTCACATGCAGTTGATTAAAGCACCTGCCCTTTTGGCAATTGAATTATAAATCATAATCTTTAAGGAATGGCTGTACAGTAGTAGGTCCAGCCTATATTTGATCATAAGTCTCATAATCCTCTGGCTGGCATGGCTGCTTTGGATGCAGAATGTTTAGAAATAAACTTTCCTAGTGTTCGTCATTCAACGAGACACCTAGGAAGTTATTCACCTTTTTTTTCCTTGAGAGTTACTGCTGGCCAGAGTGGACAATTGTAAACCAAATGGACCAGAAATCAGGCTTGGTATGAAATCGTTTCCAGTCGTCATATAACTTTCAGATTGCAAAAAGGTGGTGATCCTTACAATGCAACAGAACGACAGCATGGAACCACAGGGCTGGTGAAAGGAAAGGTCAAATTTTGAGTAAGAGGGAGTCATGGTTTTGGATTTTAACAATTGCGGTGTTTCTGATAAGCCTCTAAAGTGCATCGTTGTGTTCTTGTCCTGCTGAAGCAGACCCAGTTTTTTGTAATTTCTGCTCTTGTAGATGGATCCGGACAGACCCGGGAGTCAAATGGGTGGGAGATATTGTGGTTTCAAGAGAACTTTACAACCCCATTGCAATTTCTGATTTGTGACCTGACAAGATGACTCTAGAATAGGTAAGGCAAGACTTTAATTATGCCAGGAGTAGGTATAGGTCTTCACTGCAAAGACCAATGCAGGCCTAGTCACTATAGCCATATTGGTGCAGGATGATGGGTGTTGTGATCTACCAACTTCAGAAGGCCACATTTTCCCAAACCCTAAATTCTATCAGTATCGTTTCTTTTGGGTGAGTGGATGCCTCCCATTTTAGAGGTTGCAGATTTACTCCAGTTTAACAAATCTTCATTCTACCTGTTAAGGGCTTCTGCAAATTCCTTTGCCAGCCAAAATGGGGTCTGGTTTTTGTTTTCAACGTTGCATATCAATGTTATCAGTTTCTCTCTTTTGCAAAAGTCGATGGGGATTTGTAGTGATTTTTGCCCTCCTCTTTTCATATCTTTTGCCTGTCCTAACTCTCTCTCTCTCAAGACAAACTAAATATATAGCATATCATTATGAATTTGGCATAATTTACTTACTCAAACTTTTTGGTGATTCTCTCCACACAAACTGCCAATTTTCAGAGATAAATACAGCACGTCCAAAGTTAGGGGAAAAATACATATATATGCCAGAGCTTAAGAAAGTTCCTTTTCTTTAAGCTTACACTTCCCAGAATTTTGGCCATGTGATTACAAGGAAGGAAGGAAGGATGCCCTCGCCCCATTTTTCATAACCGTGTTGTGAACTTTTCTGCTATTTTCTGTGCAAATATTTGTATGCATGTGAGCCCTGCCAGGTCTGACTTGTTCAGTGGGGCATCCTTCCTCCATTCTCCGGTCCATAAACTCAAGACAGGAGACACAAACGGCTTTATTGGAACTGGGAAGGAGGTAACATTCAATTGAGCTGCAGCAACTGTTGAGTCCTCCTGACCTAGTTGGGGTCACTCCTCCGACCTGCAACAGAAGAGCCTCTTGCCTCCTGGTTCCCTTCGCCAGGATGTCTGTGTTCTCCCTGGTTCTCGAGGCTGATTGCCCATCGCTCTTTAGTCCAGCCCTGGAACTCTGTCGCTACCACGAGATGCTTAAGAGCAAGAGCCAGGATGTCTGTGATTAGGGCAGGTGTGTAAGTTCTCTCCCTGGAGGGCCTCAGTTTTCCCCTGCCCTAACAACCCAGTCATCTCCATCTCATTCCGACGCTGCCATTCATAGTGATGTTTTCTCCCTAGGGTTGGATCTCTGTCCTCCTCCACCTCTCTGGATGCTAGATGCTCTCCTTGCAATAGGAAGGTCGGAGTGTGAGCCTGGGTTTATTTTGGGTTTTTTCCCCCTTTAGGGACCCTTAGTTGAACCAAGCCCCCTCCCTGTTCAGGGATCTTCCTTAAAGAGGCCATCCCATTTGGGCTCTTCCTCTGGCACCCAATACTATAGGTCTTTGATCATTCCTCCTTAGCATCTCCCGAGGCCCCTTCCTCAAGGTCCTTCTCCCTGGCTGGAGATCCAGGATTCCTCTTTCCTCCATCACCCCTCTTTCTGACAGCCCACCTCTTGCCAGGCCTTCTCTCTGAGGGTCTTTTTGTCTCTACCCCTGGCAAGGCGGCTCTTATATCCTTCAGGCACCAGGGCAGACCATTTCTTTCTTCTCCCCTTGGGAGGGTCCCTCTCCCCTTGGGGTCTCCGCTACCACCTCCATGTGTAGGGCTTCGTTTTGAGACTCATTGTCTTGGGAGTTGGGGCTTCTCCTCTCTTTCCAGGTCTCCTACCCTCTGGGCTTCCTGACTCTGCAGTCGTTTCTGATAATAATAATAATAGTTTGGGGATCGCAGAGCTGAAAGGGACCCTATATGGCTCATCAAGTCCAAACCCTCTCAAGAAGGCACAGTGGGGAATTGAATTCCCCACAAGTGGCCTAAGCCACTGAGCAGTCTTGCAGCTCTTAGCTGGATAGGTACGTTGGGGTCTGAGCTGGAGCCGGACAGCGTGCCCGCGGGGGAGCCTGCATCCCTGTCCTCCTCACAGTGCAATTCCCCTACCCTGCGCAAGGGAGGTCAAAATATCTTGGGGATCAACGGGGTCCCGCCCGTGGAGAAGACAATGCAAGGCCAGAGAGCCACCTTCTGTTGCTCACCCTCCTTGCTGAATTACCGTTCCCAATGCTCTGTGAGACGAGATGACAGAACCAGTGTTCATCGGCTCTGTTCCTCACGACATTGTCTTGATGAATGACAAAGGCACAGGCATACAAAGGCAAACGATGACTGCATCTTCTGGTTGAAAGGGAGGCAGGAGAAGTGAGGTCAGCAGGCTGGGATGAGGTCTGTGTGGTTGGTCTTTGCCATGCTCTGAACTCAAAATTACTCTCTGGGCTCATGTTGTAAAGATACCAGAGAATTGGGTTGTGTCTCGTCTTGGTTGAAAATGCCCCTGGTTGCCTCAGAGAGGGGTCCAAGCTCTGTGAAGCCGTGCTGTTATAACAGATTTGCAGTAGAACCTTCCTTATATGTAGCTCAAAAGGACAGAATTAGGTTCTGACTCCCTAACCCTCCAGTTTACTGAAGTTAATATGGGTGGATCCGATGGGGGAGATCTAATATCATGACGAATAGGCTTTAGTTTAGTACCTGCTGAACTGCTGTGGCTTCCTCAGAAGGATTCTTGGACACTTGATTCTTCAGTGCTTGAAGAACCAAGTGTGTTACATTCCTGTTGCACAGTGGCTAAACTGCAGTCCTGCAGTCAGGCTTCTGCTCATGACCCCAGCGGATTCCGGTAGTCAATTTAAGGTTCACTCAGCCTTCCTGCCTTCCGAGGTCAGTGAAACGAGTACCCAGCTTGCCGGGGGCAATGTTGTTGGTGCATAATTATGGTGTAAGCTGCCCATGGAGCACTGTAGCAATATAGGGAGCATATAGGTCCAAACAATAACAATGTAGTTCCCCATTGCCGTGCATGTTAAGGAATTCTGGGAGATGTAGTCAGTCTTAATATTAACTTTTCAAAGGTTGCTGAATATGCTATGAAATCTGGAATCCAAAAAGTGATTCCTCCC